GCTGCTGGGGGGCTTCGCGGGGGTCCCCACAAGGTACTGGGGCTGGTTTGAGGGTCAGCACCTCACTGCTGCTGTCCTGGCAGTAAGTCACCAGCCGGGGCTGGCTGGGGGCGGCTGGGAGGAGACAGACAGCGGGCACAGCTCCCAGGACTCCTCGCAGGGGAACGGCGAGTTGAGCCGCACCTCGGACTCCTGCAGCAAATCGGGCAGTGACAGCCACTCCGGGGCCAGCCGGGAGCTGACCCACATGGCTGAGAGGTGAGAACGGGGCCGTGGGGGGCTCCCCTTCCTCCAGGTGCTTCTGAGATGCTTCCCTCATCTCCAGGAGCAGTGCTCTCATTTTCCACACCATTAATTTGAGTCCCCTGGCACTGCTGGGCTGGATTCCTCCTGGCACATTTGGCCTTCCAGCATGGGCAGCCCTTGGGTGGACAGAGCCACGGGTGGGGGAACTAATTTGGGAGGGACTCCCTGCCCACAGGACGGCACTGGGGCCTGCACTGGGGTCCCCAGGAGGGAGCAGGGCTGGCTCCGTCCCCACTGAGGCATCTCCTCGAGCAGGGTGGACGCTGACAGCCTGGGTGACTGTGTGCGGGAGGTGAGCCTGGTGTCAGCGCTGACCCGCGGTGCCAGGGTCTTCCTCACCAGGGAGGAAGCACAACACTTCGTCAAGGAGTAAGTGCACAAGGAGGATGCTCCCTGGGACTGTGGGTGCTATGGGGCCAGACAAGGAGTACTTGGGGGGCAGCCTGAACCCTTCTCACCCCCTGACTACCTTGGCCAGACCTCTGGGGACAAAAGGCTGCCAGGCAGGAGGGCTGCCCGCTCGGGGGGCTGCATGCAGCTGGTGTGGCCGTAACCCCTTCCCCTCGGCCAGGTGCGGGCTGCTGAACTGCGAGGTGGTGCTGGAGCTGCTCAGCCGGGCGTTGGAGGACCCCAGTGACAGCGTCCGCATGGTGAGCGCGGGGCAGTCCCGGTGTGCCACCGGCACATGCCTGTGATGCTGTCCGCTTCAGGCTGTGCCGCTGCAGGCACAGGGTGGAGGGATGGCAGGGAAGAAGTGCTGCCAAGTCAGGGTGTTTTGGTGTCTGCCCGTCCTGCCTGCCACTCTCAGCCATGCTCTCCTCTCCACAGAGATCCATGTGTGCCATCTCCTCCCTCATGTGCTCCGACCTGCTCTCCCTGGACCAGATCTTTGCTGTGACTCGGCAGCACCTGCAGCAGCGCAGCCAAGGCAGCCCTGGTCCTGTTGCCAACCGAGCAATGAAGGTGACTCCTGGGACATCCCTGTGCCCTCTCCCCAAGGCAGGGGGGTCCCGGGCACTGGCCTGCCTGTCCTCAGGGACACCCAGCTCTTGGGAATGGTTGCATGTGTGTCCCAGAGAGCTGGTAATCGTCCATCTCTCACAGGAGCAGGGAGCCTGTGAGGTGTGATGCTCCCTCCCTGGGACCCCTGGAAGGGGATGTCCTGGGGCTGATCCCCAGCACTGGGAGAACGGGCTGGGGCCAAGCCCCCTTCCTGATGCTGCTCTCACTCCCGAGATTCTGCGGCAGTTCGAGGCTCTTTGCAGCAGCCAGCCCTCCCCCAAGAGCAAGTGGCCGGACTCAGACCCCTCTGCCCTCGCCGTGGGCTCAGCCTCATGTACTGCGGACCTGTTGACGGACATCCTGCCCCTGGCAGGCGAGAGCATCCTCACCCCGCTGAGTGCAACCCCACTGCCCACGGCCATGCCGGCCTGCAGTGAGGAACAGGGGGTGGAAGCGGAGACCCATGGGCAGCCTGATGCCACAGTGCCAGCCTGTCCCTGCGAGCGGGAGGCGGGGAGCCGGCTGGCACGGG